CAGCGTCAAGCTGTAACATCATTATATGTTAATTTTAGATTAGATTTAGGCTGTGACGTCAGGTGACCAAAACTCAATGTCTAGTCAGCGTCTAAGGACAACGATATTTTGATGTCCAATAAAGGCGTCAGATGACGTTGATATTTGGTTGATTTTAGGATGTTGGAAATTAACCAAAATCCAACACCATATTGACGTCAAATACTGACATTTATTCGTTAGGTATGGCAATCAAAATCCAACGTTTGATAGACGTCATAGTGGTAACGTCCACACAACGTCAAGCTTTAACATCATTATATGTTAATATTAGGTTAGATTTATGTTGTGACGTCAGGTGACCAAAATTCAATGTCTAGTCAGTGTCTAAGGACAACAATATTTTGATGTCCAATAATGACGTTAGATGATGTTGATTTTAGGTTGTGTTGGAAAGTGACGAAATCCAATGTCGAGCCAACATATTAAACCAACGTCATATTGATGTCAAATACTGACATTTATTCGTCAGGGATCGCAATCAAAAACCAACGTCTGATAGACGTCATAGTCGTAACGTCCACACAACATCAAGCCGTAACTTCATTATACGTCATATATTAGGTTAGATTTAGGTTGTGACGTCAGATGACCAAAATTCAATGTCTAGTTAGCATCTAAGGAGAACGATATTTTGATGTCCAATTCGTCAGGTATGGCAACCAAAATTCAACGTCTGATAGACGTCATAGTGGTAACGTCCACACAACGTCAAGCTGTAACATCATTAGACGTTGATATTTGGTTGGTTTTAGGTTGGACGTTGGACATTGACGTCGGCCTGACGTTGGGTTCTGATGTCAACCCGATTTTCATTTCCAAACAAAATGCAACATTTCACAACATTGGGGTACAACGTCAATCTGTCGTCATGGTGGCCTGTGCCTGCTGGGATTGGTTATAGGTTTCCAACATTATTCAAAATATCCTCTTTTGTGCTCAACATATATAAAAAAGCACAAACAGGTTTGGCAGAATTTTTAAGTGAACTAATCAGAAAGTTAATAAAAATTAAAATTAATTGTGATTATTGTTGTTTTTTTGTTTTTTTTTTTTCAAGAAAAGGGCTTCCATAATATTATTATTATTATTATTATTATTATTATTAATAAGCACTGTTTTTGTTTTGTAAGTATGTTACTTGTTTTTTTTCCACAAAATCTACATTTACATTTAGTCATTTAGCAGACGCTTTTATCCAAAGCAACTTACAAATGAGGACAAGGAACCAACTATAAGAGCAACAACGAATAAGTGGTGTAGGCAAGTTTCAGGTATGTAAAGAAAGTGTAAGAAGCACAACAATAGTAATATATATATATATATATATATATATATATATATATATATATATATATATATATATATATATGTAGTTAGTGTAAGAGTCAGAGAGGGAATTGCATATTAGGAAGGAAAGTGGAGACTAAATAGTCGAGTTTTTAGTGGTTCCTTGAAGACAGCGAGTGACTCTGCCGTTCTGATGCAGTTAGGGAGTTCATTCCACCAACTGGGCAGATTGAATGCGAGGGTTCGGGAAAGTGATTTCTTCCCTCTTTGGGATGAAACCACGAGGCGACGTTTATTCACAGAACGCAAGTGTCTGGAGGCCCTATAAATCTGCAGAAGTGAGAGCAGATAAGAAGAAGCAAAGCCAGAAGTCGCTTTGTAAGCAAACATCAGAGCTTTGAGTTTGATGTGAGCAGCAACTGGCAGCCAGTGCAAATGGATGATCAGCGGAGTGACGTGCAAAAACTTGCCCTGTTCTCGCTCATTCTCTGCAAATGTATAATAGTAATTTATGTTATTTTAAGGAGATTAACTGGAAAATAAAACAAAAATACTGATTAGACGAATCACAGACAGATTTCCGATGACATTTTACTGAAGATTTCCATCTCTTATGGTGCTCTCTTCTCTCTTCATCTTTTTTGCCTGTCATTATGTTCATTTATTGTCGATCTGTCTTTTGCTTTGTCCTCTGTTTATGTCTCTCAGCGGATTGAAACGAGTGGTAATAACGTCTCAGATCTGTCTTTTCGTTCAGTAAATGGGTCAGTGTTTTGGCTTTGCCTGCTACTGTATGTAGAAAAGAGAAAAACTGATCAAGGCACAACTATTAAATACTATCGTCTTCAGTGTCTTCCTCATGTGTTTTTCTTTGTTTTATAAATCGAAATTATGGAACAGCACAAGTAAAGCTAGTAATTGTGGAGGCAATATGTGAAAATGAACCTCTGCGTGTATAACTTCAGGCTTTTGAAAGCCATGTTGAGGGAAATTAAACTGGATGTGGTTTGTTTTTGAGTTATGAAACTTTTGTTTTCTAATAAAAGGATGCTGATTCATCGTGCGTGGCTCATTCGGTTGTTTTGGATTCACAATATTATGTAGCTCTGGAGTTTTATTACTTGTATTTATTTTCTGGACGGCTACATAAAACACTAAGAAACTGTTTAAAAAGACCACAGATGACATCTCGGCTATTTCTGTCTGTGGTTGTAATTTTATACAGCCTTTGGGCTGTTGTTGGTAGTGAAATTTCATACTTTTTCATTAACATCCTGCCAAACTGTCAAATGTGGTTGAATTTCGGAGAGTTTAACCATTATATCTGAAAAGTGATATAGTCACGAAAGTGATTTTAAACCACTGACACATGCACAATAATACATAAAAGAGAGCTTAAAGGGATAGTTCACCCTAAAATTAACATTTCATGCACGTCGCTGGTTCTCTTCCTATTTAATTGACAGAAAACAGTTTGGGCAGATAAAGAATAGACGCTCTGATCCTGTTTCAGTCCTTCATGGTGTACCTCAAGGGTCAGTGTTGGGGCCACTTTTATTTATTATTTATATCTTACCTCTAGGTCAGGGGTGTTCAATTGAAGTTATTAGTAACTAATAAAGTTGTGTAACTAATAGCAACATTTTTCTGATTTTGATTGTAATGCAGTAATGTGCACCTAGAGCTGTTTTGAGTAAGTGCTATACAAATAAACTTGAATTGAATAACGGGACTGTTTCATAACTTGTGTATAACTTGAACATTTCTGAGACTCCTGTGAGTTGTGATCATTTTTAAGGATCCGAAAAGTTCCTATTTACGCGACTGAGGGAACAGAAGATAATTTATGTTGGGTTCCTGATATTTTCACTCTTCCAAACCACATCCATCATAACCCCGGACAGAAGATTCGCCTCATCCAAGCAAAGCATTCTTCAGAATCAAACTAAACTAAAAACAGTTCATTGATATAATATAGTCTGGCTAAAAATACATTTAATGTGAAAAAGACACGTCCTCTTTGAAGTAGCGAGAGGGCTACACATGATAGAGACGGTTCCAGCTCTGCTGAAAAATCCAGCTTGATGGTTGGCTGGTTTTAGAGGGGTTTTGGCCACTTCAAGCTGGTTTACAGCCATTTCCAGCCTGGTTTAACCTGGTAAGGATGGGAGATGACCAGCTAAAACCAGCTTGACCAGCCTAGCCAGGCTGGGAGCCCAGCCAAAACCAGCTATATCCAGCTTAAACCAGGATGGTCAAGCTGGTTTTAAATGGTTTTAGCTGGTCTCTTTCCAGCCTGACCAGCTAAAACCAGGCTTGAAATGGCTGGAAACCAGCCTGGAAGTGGCCAAAACCCCTCTAAAACAAGACTGGTCGACCAGCTAAAACCAGCCAACCATCCTAGGCTGGTTTAAGCTGGATTTTTCAGCAGGGAGTTAATATATTTAATTTAATTTTTCCAGTTTAACTGAAAGCAGCTGTGAGCGTGTTGGTTTTTAACCCTGAAATGTAAAATTTAAAATCAATCTGATGGTATGCAGCCAATAAGGCAAATGGCTTCTGTTTCTAGCTCATGCTAAGTTGATTATGAGGTACAAAATAAAAAGGGACAGGCTTTATGGCAGTACACCAAACAATATATCACCCTAGTAGTGAAATAGTATGAACACAGAATACATAACCAAAGACGAAGTTGATGGAGGAATTTAAAAAAGAGAAATTGACCGTAAAATAAAGAGGCAATATCCTAGCCTACCTAAAAACTAGCCTACTAAATTTACCTTCACTAACATGGGGAAAAATAAAAATGAAGGGAATTTCAAAGCGCTTGCCGGACTCAAATGTGAATAGTAGTATTGAAAGCAGAAAAATATTTGTCATTATGCCATAAATGTTTCTTTATGCTCTTGTACAGATTTAAAAACGCCTTTCAGGCTTCATTAGCCAAAGCGCATGCGCAGTACTAAGCCCGCGTTTGTTCTACAGGTAGCTGCATTGACGCTAGGTTTACACGGCTGGGCTCAGAGACTTTAGCATCTGCAGCTGTATGGTTGTTATTTCCATGTATAAACAACACGAGAGAGTTTTCTAATTCACCCGCGATGTTAGCAGTACATTTCGAGCTGTTCCAAAACAAGCAGGTAACGTTAAGCTTTGAAAGTTTGCAATCTCTGCTAGCGTTAGCTTGAAATAGTTTACGCTGACCTATGGAAGGCCAATGGGGCCAAAACATATCGCAAGCTAGTACACATGTTAAAAACGTGAACAATTTTCCAGCAAACTAGCATGCCTTTCATTTTTGTGTGATTTACTTTTTTGGCTGTAATGATCCCTTTCAGTGAACAGTGAGCATCATGGTAATTTACTTTTGACGACGAGTTATACATCAAATAAATGGGGATTTAAAATGTCTTTTTAGCTTATGTTTGTATTTTTAGGTCTATATTTGAAGTGATCCCTGCTGAAAAACAGCTTAAATCAGCCTAGGCTGGTTGGCTGGTTTTAGCTGGTCGACCAGGCTGGTTTTAGAGGGGTTTTGGCCATTTCCAGGCTGGTCTCAGCTGGTCAGGTTGAAAAATGACCAGCTAAAACCAGCTTGACCAGCCTGGTTTAAGCTGGATATAGCTGGTTTTGGCTGGACTCCCAGCTTGGCTTGGCTGGTCAAGCTGGTTTTAGATGGTCATCTCCCTGCCTGACCAGCTAAGACCAGGCTGGAAATGGCTGGAAACCAGCCTGGAAGTGGCCAAAACCCCTCTAAAACCAGCCTTGTCGACCAGCTAAAACCATCCAACCAGCCTAGGCTGGTTTACGCTGTTTTTTCAGTAGCCTCGCCAGGCTGGGAGCCCATACAAAACCAGCTATGTCCAGCTTAAACCAGACTGGTCATGCTGGAAATGGCTGGAAACCAGCCTGGAAATGGCCAAAACCCCTCTAAAACCAGCCTGGTCGACCAGCTAAAACCAGCCAACCAGCCTAGGCTGGTTAAAGCTGGATTTTTCAGCAGGGTAATATAATAATAAAAATGTTTGCTTTACCCAGTATGAAGGCTCTGAAAAATAAACCAGAACAAACTAAAGACTGAATTGTTCTTAACAGAAATGCGTAATAAATATTAATTTGGTCAAATGGTCTTTACTGTGGCCCTCATAGCATATAGTCATAAATTAAATACTTAAGGCAAAGTAAAAAAAAATAAAGTTGTTTTAAGTAAAATTATAATTTTATCTTGATGTTAACATAATGCTGTTCCTTTTCCTGTCTAAGGACCCAATAAGAACCTTTGTGTTCAGATTATATAGTATATTAATAACCGCTATATGAAGAGTTCCGATACAGTGCTGTCTGAAATTTCCATTGAAAATGAACATTTCTCTCAGCCTCCTTTGTTTACGAGTTATTTCACTTTAAAGGCATAAAAAGGACGTAGTCTTTGCCATCCAAGCTAAGCATTCTTCAGAATCAAACTAAACTAAAAACATCATTGATATAATATAGTCTGGCTAAAAATACATTTAATGTGAAAAAGACACGTCCTCTTTGAAGTAGCGAGAGGGCTACACATGATAGAGACGGTTCCAGGTCTGCTGAAAAATCCAGCTTGATGGTTGGCTGGTTTTAGAGGGGTTTTGGACACTTCAAGCTGGTTTACAGCCATTTCCAGCCTGGTTTAACCTGGTAGGGATGGGAGATGACCAGCTAAAACCAGCTTGACCAGCCTAGCCAGGCTGGGAGCCCAGCCAAAACCAGCTATATCCAGCTTAAACCAGGATGGTCAAGCTGGTTTTAAATGGTTTTAGCTGGTCTCTTTCCAGTCTGATCAGCTAAAACCAGGCTTGAAATGGTTGGAAACCAGCCTGGAAGTGGCCAAAACCCCTCTAAAACAAGACTGGTCGACCAGTGAAGTTACAAGTGAAGTTACTGAACCTACACACAGGAGTCTGATTAAAATGGCCATTTTAGAGGAAAATTTCAGATGGCATTTAAAGGTTTTTGCATCTGAACTCTTCATATATATAATATCACACAAACATCAGAATACATTGGCAAAATCTGATTAAGATTTAATTTGGTCTCGGCGCCAGTGGTGTAGTGGTTAGTGTGTTTGATTCCGCCTCGCGGTCCTATGCCGATCCTTCCCCTCTATCTGCTCCCCATGCTTTCCTGTCAATTCTCTCTACTGTCCTATCAAATAATAATAATAAAAAATGATTTAATTTGTTCTTGTTAATGATACCAATAGGACATGTAAACAATCCGATTTAAACTGAAACACACTTAATTTAGTGTTTGTGTAAATGCTACTTTTAACTTTAAATTTTCACACAATGCCCATTGCATTTAATTGTATTTAATTGTATTTATAAGTTTGACTAACTAGTGTCAAACAAAAAAATATTTAAGAGTTTTTTTTTTGTAATACTTGTTTCTTTAGATTTTGTGGTTTAAAAAAACAACTATTCTTCTGATTAATAATTATAATAAATATTAATAAGTATTAATATGAATAATTAATAATAACAATAATATTAATAATAAGAATAATAACGATTTTATTTCTTTTGTCACTTTTTTGTTTTTTACAGTAACAATTCTGATATTAATAGTAATACTATTTATTTATATATTTATTTATTTTAGAAGTTTTTACAATTCTGATATTAAATAATAATTCATTTATTTATATCAGAAAGTGCCATATCTTTAGACTTTTAAAATTGTACGCATACATTTTATATTTTACACCACCCATTTTATTTATTTATTTATTTAATTGTAGTTATAAGTCCAGATTAATTCGTTGCAAGTGAATTAAAACAAAAAAGTGTCTTGTCTAGTAAGGCACATCAAATAGCAATTATCTGGATTTATTGTTTAAATTTTCAGATCAAACATGCATTAGTTTCTCACCAAACAAACAAAACGTTCTGTTAACAAAGCTCAGTGTATTTCAGAGTTATTTTGAAAGCCTCATATGAGTCAATAAGCAAAACTCCTCTTTGAGCTACAGTGTATGTGAATAAACTGTGGAAAATGTCTGAGATAATAATCTGTCGTGCTCACATCTGAGTCACTGCTCACGTGTGAGTACTGTGGTAAACCTTTAGATTTTCCAAATGGCGCTGATCATATTTGTGTTTGAAACTTCTCTAAATGAGCGTATTATTCAGGGAAATTGAGGAGATTTCCCGTTATTCCCTGTGACAGTGCAGTCTGTGAGCGCTTAAGTGTTTTTTCAGGTCGGGATGTGAATATCTGTTTCAGTAAAACACTCTCTGGGTTTGCTAACGCAGCGTCTCGCTTTGTCCATGCGCAGGAATCTGAAACAGAAACAAGAGCAAAATCCACATCCGTCTGTTTGCACAGATGTCTGACAATCCAGCGTTGTGAAAACTACCCAAGCTGAGCACATTTCTGCAGCTTTACACAAAACGAGGTAAATAAAATACAAACATTTTAGTTTTTCTGTGGTAGTTATAAGTTTGATCAACTACTGTCAAAAACACAACTATTCTTCTTATTATTAATAATTGAATATTATTATTATTAAAATAAAAACATATCAGAATAATAGTAATAATAATAAATACAATAATAATTTATTTATTTTATTTGTTAGGTCACCGTTTTGTTTTTTGAACATAAATTGTTTTTTGAAAATAATATTTATTTCAGACTTTTAAAAGTTAAATTTTACACAACACAATACCCTATTTATCTATTTATTTATTTTTTATTAGAAGTGTTAAGTGTTATCAAAAAACTAATCTATTCTTTAAAGTTGCTCAATACGCATTTCATTTGTTTATTTATTGTATTTAAATGTAGTTATAAGTTGGACTTACTGGTGTCACACAAAAAGTATTTAAGAAAGTTTTATATTTTGTAGTTCTTGTTTGTCTAGATTTGTGGTTTAAAAACAACAACCATTCTTTATAATATCTAATAATAATAATTTTATAATTATTATAAATTGTATTATTAATAATAATACCAATAATAGTAATAATAACAAATGCAATAATAATAATAATTATTTATTTATTAGATTTTTTAACTTGTTGTATTTTGAAAATTCTGAAGTAAATAAATAAATAAATAAATAAATATTATTATTTTATATCAAGTGTTGAAAAACAAGAAATGACATGTCTTCAGATTTTTATATTACATTTTACACAACTCAATACCCATTTTATTTATTTATTTTTATTTTAATGAATTTATTTATTTCAGATTACGTTACATTATTACTTTTATATTAAATTTAACTCAACACAATACCCATTTATTTATTTTTAATTTAATTAATTTATTATTTTAATTAAATTATTATCTATTTTTATTAATTATAATAGTGTTAAACAAAGAGCTGTTATATTTTCAGACTTTTTAATTAAATTTTACAAAACACAATACCATTTTTTTTCAGAGGTGTTAAAGCAACAAAAAAGTGCCGCATCTTTAGACTTTTATAATAAATTTTACACAATACCCTATTTATGTATTGTTTAATTTAATAAAAAATCTAAATAAAATTATTTTAATTTCAAAAGTGTTTAAAAAAACAAAAGTGCCATTTTTTCATAATCTTTTCATAAAATTTTACACAACACAATACCAAATGTATTAATTGATTAATTGAATTGTTTATTTAATAAATGTATTTGTTTCAGAAGTGTTTAAACAATAAAAAAGTGCCATGTTTTCAGGCTTTTTTTTTTTTTAATTAAATTTCACACAACACAAAACCAGTGCTTTAATTGGATAAGAATTACGAAATAATATTTGGTGGAATAACTGAATTAATTATATTTCTTTTTTTATTTTCTAATATTGTCACTAAATTAATGACCTAATCCAAGATAATGTGTATAAATAATAATATATAAAACATGCATTCTTATACAAATAATAATTTCTAGTTTGACAATTTAGATTCCATAAAGATCCTCTAAAGCTCTGAATGAGTCTGAGTGAAACCTCATTAAAGTGTGTGTTTATTCACCGCCTGCTGTTTCTGATCTGATCTGCGTTTTTCACATCGAAAGTCCAAACACTCATAGACTAAACATTTTATGAAGCAAATGCCAAAGTCTCTGCCAGGACGCTGAACCGCTCCGGCTGTTTCAGCTTGGTTTCTAATCATAGAGCATTCAAACAATAACCCTTATTATGCAAATAATACACGGTCACACTTTCATTTGGTGATCTACCGACAGGCATAGTTACTTATTATTTTAAGCAGCGTTGGGTATGTTACTTCAACTTCTTAATACTTCATTCATTCATTCATTCATTCATTCATTCTCCTTCGTCTTAGTCCCTTTATTAATCAGGGGTTGTCACAGTGTAATGAACCGCCAACTACTTCAGCATATGTTTTACACGGTGGGTGTCCTTCTTGCTGCAACCCCAGTACTGGGAAACACCCATACACTTGGATTTTCTTACACACTCATACACTACAGCCAATTTAGCTTGTTCAATTCACCTGTGGCGCATGTGTTAGGACTTGTGGAAGACAACTGTAGCTCCCTGAGGAAACCAACACCTACATGGGGAGAACATGCAAACTCCACACTGAAATGCCAACTGGCACAGCTGGGACTTGAACCAGTGGTCGTCTTGCTGTGAGGCCACATTGCTAACCACTGAGCCACCGTGTTGCCAATTACTTTATTCATTAATTCGTTTTTTTGGCTTAGTCCCTTTATTAATCTGGGGTCGCCACAGCGGAATGAACCGCCAACTTATCTAGCATATGTTTTATGCAGAGGATGCCCTTCCAGCTGCAACCCATCACCGGGGAACACCAGTACATTCCCATTCACACACATACACTATGGACAATATAGCTTACCCAATTCACCTGTACCGCATGTGTTTGGGCTGTGGGGGAAACCGAAGCACCCGGAGGAAACAACATGCAAACTCCACACAGAAATGCCAACTGACCCAGCCGAGGCTCGAAGCGGCGACCTTTTTGCTGTGAGGCAACAGCACTACCTACTGTGCAACCGCATCGCCTTCAAGTACTTTATTACAATTTTATTTCAATTATTATTTTAAATTTTAATATATATCTTAATGTATTATATATCTTAAATGTAGTTTAATTGACTTAATACTACATACTCCCTATGAATCTCAATGCAATAGAAATGAAACACTTTTAATTCTTTGAATTTGAAACGAATGCGGGCTTTTAGTTTTATTAAAATAAATAAGACTTTAGAAAAGATAAACATTATCATCATGACATTCTGAAGGTAGTTGCACTGTAGTGTGAAGTAGGGCTGCTCGATTATGGAAAGATCATAATCACGATTAATTTGGTCATAATTGTAATTACACGATTATTCAAAACAATATACGGTCAAAATTATTCTTAATATTTTTTATTTTATATATAAATATATATTTATATATTAATATATTTATATATTATATAAATATTTTATTTATTTATACAAAATTATTATTTATATTAATTGTTTTTTGAATAAATATTTCCCAATTGATGTTGAACATATTCAGGAATTTCCTTTAATATTTTTTCTTCTTGAAAGTCTTGTTTTATTTCGGCTAGAATAAAAGTTATTTAAAAACTATTTAAGGTCAATATTATTAGCCTTCTTACGTTATATATCAGTTTTGGATTGTCTCCAGAACAAACCACTGTTATACAACGACTTGTCTAATTACCATAACTTTACCCTAATTACCTTTGCTAAGCCTTTAAATGTCACTTTAAGCTGTATAGAAGTGTCTTGAAGAATATCTAGTCTAATATTATGTGCTGTCATCATGACAAACATACAATAAATCAGTTATTAAAGATGAGTTATTAAAACTATTATGATTAGAAACATGTTGAGCTGTATATATATCAGCCAAATAAAACAAAACAAGACTCCTGAAGGAAAATATAATAGGAAATACTGTTTCCCTGCTTGATTTTAACATCACCTGGGAAACTTTTGAAAACATTTGAATTAACAATTAAAATTTCAAAAAGTAAAAATTTTTCAAGTAACTGCAGCTGTATTGTCAACTGTAGTTATTAACTGTGTTATTAGGCCCACACGGAATCTGCGCGTGCAGAAGTCTGCACATTTTGAGCCCATCATTGAGTCTATGTATTTATTTGTGTAAATGTGTGCACATTTATATTTATGCAGTTTTGTTTTTAATTAATTTCACTAATATTATTGTGCTGTAATAATAGTAGTATTAAAATGTTCACATGATTTCTTTACAATACAGGTTGTAAAGTTTTATTTTCTGTCTTTTAGTAGATGTATTATATGAGAGACTTGCTTTGTTTACCAAATTAGTGGATGTGATTTGATTTGCATTATAAATATTAAATGCAAGTTAAAAATGTGTCACTATTTATTTCACAAATTAAGTTTTTAGTTATGATACTGTCGAATAATCCGCAGATTTTTTTACAAAATTCTCCTCAGAATTAGCTTAAAATGTCCGCAGATTTTCTCTGGCGCTACTTATAGTCAACAGAATGTGTTGTGCGATCAAAATAAAGTGGAATCAGAGCTGAAGTGCACCACTGAAAGCCGCGCAGCTTATAAAAATACACTTCTGCATTTGCCTTCCCACAGGAGCTTTGATTATCCATAACCTGTATAATGGAGCTGTGGCAGCAGCGGCTGTGGTTTGGAGCGCGTCTGGAGGCCGGATGGGGAACGCTGCGGTCTGGACTGGGGTCCCACTGGGGGAAAAGGGACTCGGAGGTGAGACGCAGAAAATAAGGCAGAGATTGGGGTCAACTCTCAGCACGCTAAACCTTTAGCCCTTCACTTTACACCGCTTCGCCTCAAGAAGACAATTTAACACATGATATATTACATATACATAACACAACATGTCCTTAAAATCCCTGTTTTCAAGAGGAATTAAATTCAGAAGTGTTCAAACTATTCTCCCACTTTACCACAGTCAGCATGATGCTTATATGAACTCAAATTATTGGCAGACCAAATGCTCCGATAAATACTATAGTAAATACTATAGTGTTTTTAAACCGTACAATCATACAAAGTATTTTACTGTATGTATTATTGTAGTTAAACTCTGTTGATGAATACTACAGCGTAACTGTAGTAAACTGTAATAAATATTGTAGTATACTTAAATTTTTACTATGTGCTTGGTTGTAGACTATATCAATAAAGTGTTTAGACTTTAAAAACACTGTTGTAATACATCGAGCCACTAAACATTGTACCTATGACATTTTTCAACAGGAGGAAAACGTGAATTACTTTCAAACACTTTAAATATATTCTGTGTTGGTAAATGCAAGGCTAATGATGAAATCCAGGCATAATGCTGCGTTCACACCAGACGCGGAAGAAGCGTCACGTGCGAGTGATTTACACGCTAAGTCAATGCAAAGGCGCGAATAGACATCCTGCAGTGCGATACACACGAATGAAGTGGCGCTAATGACGCGATTTGGGCGAATGAAGCATCACTAATGATGCAATTTGCACGAATGAAGCAGCGCTAATGACGCGATTTGCGCAAATGAAGCAGCGCTAATGACGCGATTTGCGCAAATCAAGCATCGCTAATGACGCGATTTGCGTGAATAAAGTGGTGCGAGTTGAGCGTTTTGCGCTATTGACGCGCTTAACGCGTTTCGCATGAATCGCTCGACTTTGAAAATCTGAACTTCGGCGGACATTCACTCTGCATTAACCAATCAGTAGCTTGCTCTTGTGAGGGGGTGATTCTGATGTAGCGCCTGCTGTTGGTGTCCCAAGGGAAAATCCTCCAGCCGACACCGTCTGCAGTCCATCAAACTTGGCTCGGCTCAGTCAGAAGCAGAGCTGAAAGCCTCCGTCATCTAGGTCAGCAGTTCCCAAACTTTTCAGCCCGCGACCCCCAAAATAACAATACCAGTGACTCGCGACACCCAATATCTTCTGAGGTGGTTATAAATAAAGAAACCTTGCATGCAATGATGCAGACACACCAATTACATTTTTTTAACGTGTGTCAGTGCTTTAAATGTGCCAGAAAGTATAACCTGGTGTTATAAAATCAAAATGCATCTGACGCTATTGCTGCCTTTAATATAATGTAATTACCCCAGGGGTCGCAATCCAATAGAACTAGTAACTATAAGCTACTATAGTAACTATATAGTATATAGTAACTATAAACGACTATTTTTATTTTCAGCATAGCGATTGATAAAATATGTTAATTCTTTTGGTTTAATAAAAATAAATAGATTTTTGGAAATCACCAGGCGACCCCCCCTTCATTGCCCCCCGACCCCCACTTTGAGAACCACTGATCCAGGTATAGTTCTGGAGAAGTTTATGAACTCACAGAGCTGGATGCACCTCAGAAAGGATCTAGTGGACTCAGACACGACTCCAAACAAATCTACGCTGTTTTTCAGCCTTCATAAACCACATAAACACAGCTATTCTCTCAATAAAATCCATGTTAGCCACTTAGCAACGAGTCACCGGGCAGACAGAAGCCCTGCCCGTCACGCAAATCCGTGTCTGATGTGCAAATGAAGCGAGTAAACTCCTAAAACTCCTAATGTTCATGCTTCTATTTATGCGTGATTTGGGCGATTTATTCACGTCTTCGTGTCTAGTGTGAACGCAGAATAACACAGGACAACGTTTCAGATGACTGTTCTAGAGCCTACAGCTAATCAATCTGACAGATTCTGGAGTGCATTGCAGCTCTAAAGAACATTATAAATGATCTTAAATAAAACAAATACATTTATAGAGATGGTGTATAAGTATATAGTTTCACTCATCTGGGAAATGGAGGCAACTTGAATGGTTTGTGAGCACAATTAAGTGCACACAGCACGCCATATCATCTGATAATTCGAGGATTCACACTTAGCTGATGATTGATAATAAAGCATGTTTGGCATGCTTTATTTCAGAGCCTGAGCCGAGAATATCCTTGAGGCCGGGGCTCCCTCCCGTTTTAAGGGTGAGAGGAGAGTTTGAGCTTAGATAGGTCTCGAGAACTCCCCTGCTTGTGAACGTGCTGAGATGTATCTGGCTAAGAGTTGTCTTAAGATGCTATTTTGAAGTCGTCAATTTACTTATTGTGTATGTCTTTGGACGTTGAAAGGAAGCCAGGAAACCCGAGGAAAACCTGTGTGAACATAGGAAGAACATGCAAACAGTGGCGTTCCTGCTGTGAGGCAACAATGCTAACCACTGGGCTGCCATGCCGCCCTATCAGAGAAGGGGAGGAGTAGGGGTTTAAGCAGGGGTTCTTCAAGACGAAGATGACTGGAGTAGAAAGCTCTGTTTTTTTTTTTTCATAGTGTGTCAGTATTCATCTGATTGGTGCAATATACGGAGCTGGGGTCCGTTCTTCGTACCTCGCTTAAATGATCTAAGATGATTTGGCAGATCCTGGATCTTTTAATCTTGATAACTGATCTCTCGCTAATTTGGTTCTTCAAACAAGTTCGCAAATTAGATTAGAATGTCTGGATGAACTGATCTGAGATCGCTGCGTGTGTTGTGAAGGACAGATCTATCGATTCTCGAAATCATGATCAGCAATGCAATGATTGGCTGACGGCACAGCAGCGTAATGACATCATCTGATTAATATTCAATTATCCATGTGAGCAAAATTACATCAAATGAGCAGTAAACGGCTTGTTTAATATGACACGCAATAACTTTCCACATTTGTTGTGAGCTGCAGGCTTTACACTTTCATTTGTCAAGACAAGAGTATTCATCATGTATTTCAATGCAAATCAATGTATTTAGTTTCACATTTAGAAAATATTTTCTTTATTATAGTAGCCGTTTTTTAATCGGTGTAAAGAATAACTGGTTGTTTACAAAAGCATTTTCATATTGGTAAAGGCATCTGAAACTTTTGTGAAGCATCAAATCACCGGCATATAAACTATCAAATCATGTTTATGACTGCATAAATGTATTATTGCTTTAAAAAAAAGTCACATATTCTGCATTTCTATTATACACAATTTGTACTAAAGCGATCTAAAAAGTTCATATCAATAAGTTTTCTCTTTGCACCACCAGGCGGCAGTCTTTGTACTTTCATTTCGAGGGTGCAGATTGCATAAGTTTTATTAATATGTATAACTTTATTTATTTTATTTATGACTTTAACTTTATATATATTTATATAGTTTAAAAATATGTACCATTTTCCCAAGTGTATATAACTACTACTGTAAGAAAATATCAGAATTGGGAACATATTTCTGTATTATCTTTGCTTGAACTGAGCCGATCTAATGTTTATATGAATTGAACCTGCTCCCGATCAGGTTTGATCTAGCAGAACTGTTGCCATGACAACAACTCTCGGATCAGCTTTGAAGAACGAAACGATCCTGGATCATGTCAAATCGTCAATATCCAAATCCAGCTAACTGAGTAATCCACGTACGAAGAACGGACCCCAGATGCGACACCAGTCGGGATCAATCGTAAGCATGTAATCCTCTCGAAACTAGTTTATAAATGAACCACATTTGTAGGAAATAATTCCAAAAGACAACTGACTGTGTAAAGCCACGTAAAACAACACAACGATACGATGCATATGCAGAGTTCAGCAGCTAATCAGCTGGAATAACATGACGGCAACCAGCAAAACCTAGCTGTCACTCAAGAGGCCACACCCTTAATTATGCAGACTTAATATAACTTTAATATAAACGAAATGGATGAGTTATAAAAAAAAAAATCACCCCCTCACAGTTGTCATGAAGGGATTAGCTAAATCTAAATTATCGTTTGCACCAGGCTGTAAACATGTTTTTATGAGCTCCATTGCAGCCACTGAACGTCTGGAGCCAGCCCCCAGTGGCCAGTCGATGAATTGCAGTTTCAGTTACTTCCGTATTAGCTTCAAAAGGGAGAACACCATCCTTCAATTGCTTTCTATTTCCAATTATTGGTTCAGGATATCAGCGTAAGCCTCAAGCCTTACAGTCCCCATCACAAAACTAAACAAAAATAACAACTAATAACGTTAAACAGTGCTAATAGCTTCTTAAAAGTGCTAACCACTCTGGCGATACAGTGTTGTTTATATGATAATGACTGATGAAGGTTACTAAAGAAAGAGAAACACACTTGACGGTTAAGCTAGAAATGGATGAAGCTGTTCTGTGTTGCGATAGTGTGTGTGTGTGTGTGTGTGTGTGTGTGTGTGTGTGTGTGTGTGTGTGTGTGTGTGTGTGTGTGTGTGTGTGTGTGTGTGTAGGTGCTATGATGAGCACCAGCTGCTGTTTGTTTACTGAGGGCAGATTCCAGCAGTCACGCTCACACTTAGGCCTTAGGAGCTAATGGTAGCTACAACACACTTTATATTATTCCTAAAACTATCCCCAACCAAATAAAAAAAAGATTGACATCATGAGATTTATAGTCAAATACAATTAGGCTGACTTGTTTGCGTTTTATATTGTGCCAACCACATCGGATGCTAGTTTCGAGGACATTATAGCCAAATCTGCACACACAATAATAATAATCATTTATTCATTATCCTTCGGCTTAGTCCCTTTATTGAACAGCGATCGCCACCGTGGAATGAACCGCCAACTTATCCAGCATATGTTTTACACAGCGCATGCACTTTCAGCTGCAATCCAGTACTGGGAAACACACACACTTATACACTACAGCCAATTTAGTTAATTCCCCTAAATCGCTTGTGTTTGGACTGTGGGGGCAAAAAGTTGATAAAAGTGTGAGTAAAAAATAATCGACCCCCTAGGCGATCTAAATCCAGCATTTCTACGATTTTGCCAATCATATTATCAAGTTCAGGAGAGAAGCAAAGGCGACTGCACGAGTTTTTTCATTGTTTCACACACCGCCTGCTCAGTTACATTGACACCTCCAAATGATGTTGAATGCATCACATACTGTATTTATAAGGTATAATTCACCTAAAAATTTAATTTTTGTCATCATATAATGATGTTTTCGCGATCGGGAAATCACAAAGTGAGCTGCTGACCGTGAGCTGTTATCACAGAGAGGGCGGGCGCGTGCTCTACTTAATGATAGACGCGCGCGCGTCTACTTTAGTGAACAGAACCTGCATATGTTGCGAGTAATACAGTTGTAAATAATGTTCCGTTTGTGGC